CCCCCCCCCCCCCCCCTGGATTCGCCCTTGCCTTAGAGTACTTCTAGTTATTTGTTATTATTGTTTTCGTTATTAGTTCGATGGACAGCCAGATTATTGATGCGGTAGCAGAACACTGTCCTCATATGGAACAGTTAGATATTCTAGGAACATCTTTAGTAGATCAAGCCGTCATCAAAAAGTGAGTAGCATCTGCAATAATCGTTGGGTGTGAACCAAGAGTAGAAAACACTTAGGGTAAATCCTTGAATTTAATGTGGGAAACCTTACGCCCGAACTAAAACTGATGAAACCACAGGCAGCCCAATCTCTTGTTCTGTGGTATTGTAGTATTTGAATATTAAGAGTAATGTTTCGTAGCGTATCTTTCGATGTATCGTTTCTTTCGTCCTCCTACTAAAGAAAATGGAACAACAAGCTATCACTAAAGTCGTTTTTATTCTTAACTGTACTAATTTTACACGCTACGAAATATTACCGTTAATATTCAAATACTACAACACCACAGAACAAGAGATTGGGCTACCTGTGTTGAAACCGCTTTACACTATCGCGTTTCACTCATCATTATTTGCATTTCCTTATTACCGGTAAGGAGGAACACTGATGATCTGAAGAAGTGTATCTTTGAGCGCTTTATGCATGAGCCCCTGGTTCGGGAGAATAGGCCATTTCACGGATCCCGTTACTCAACCTCAGCCTCGTCAGCGTGTAATTATTCTTTAGAAATTGCCTACAACCTGTGAAATTTTTAAGTGTTTCAATTGTTCGTTGATGYGTAAATTCCTTTCATTACTGCGGACTGTAGTCAAATTCTAAAGAATAATTACACGCTGACGAGGCTGAGGTTGAGTAACGGGATCCGTGAAATGGCCTATTGGGCAACCACCCCTCGCGTTATCGAAGTAAGATGAATTACCTTAACCTTTTTATTTACACAAATTATGTGTTATTTAGGTTGACAGCCAACTGTACCAAGCTTAAGTTCCTCGACGTGTCATTTTGTTCTCAACTAAAAACAGACTTTATTCAAGAACTAAGGACCGCGTATCCTAAGATTTCTATCAAGAAAAGTTTTGTGAGTGCTGACGCTTAACTCGATCAAAAACTGTTGTTTTATGCATGCATTACGTAATTGATTTGACTACATACACTTCACCCATCTACATGCATCATTGTTCTTTCCGATGTTGCGCGGGAAACTGGTAACTAGTTTGATGCGCGCTGAATCATGCGCGACCGATAAACAAAGAAATGACACTCAAGGGAATGACACGTGGTCTGAAATGGGTAAACATTACACCCAAGCTAAAGAGGTCTATTGAGTGTGAAAGTTTGTTAAAGCAGGGTACTCTCTAGAGCAAACTCTAACGTACTAACTCTGGTTAAAGCAATATATACGTACTCACAAGATAGCCAACTGTTCACACAATTGGAATACTAGGACACGGCACGGTCACAACACGGCACGCACACCATACAAATATGATGTTCTTAAGCAAAGTTTTATAATATTTAGAGCAAAATTCAAATGAACAGAAAAACACGATAATGTTGCAATATAAAGAATTCGTTATTTTAACAAATTAAAAGGTAAGCTGGAAGCGAATTTTCAGGAATTTTGAGTGTATCTTTTATGGGAAAGAAATTCGTGTCAAAAAACGTATTACTTAGGCGCTAAGTACTGGCGCTATTGAGGAAAATCTCCAAGATATAATTACTAACAGGGTGGCATGGGAATAGTCCCCTTCACAGTTCCCTGTGCCATCTTGAAAGGTTGCCGTGCCTTTGCATCGAAGCGAGACGAACGGTGAGCTTGCAGTGATAGAGACAGGTGAATAATTGTTCAAGGTGCTTAAAAAAGGTCTCTATCATTGCAAGCTCACCGTTCGTCTCGCTTCGATGCAAAATAACGGCTACCATTCAAGATGGCGCAGGGAACTGTGAAGGGGATTATTACTTGTGACGACAATAATAAGTGCCTGGTACGTGAAAATAGCAAAATGTAGAGCATGATTCGAAAATTACTGATTCGTAAATTCGATTCCTAAAAAAAGTTAAAATTCAGTTAAAATTCGGGATTTATTAATGTGCCTCATCATGTAGTATATTAACATCAGCGTAGTATATTAATATCGGCCATTGATCAACAAAGGCCATTAAAATTGGATATCCTTCAGGGACAATGCCTGTATAAAAATAAATAAATAAAATAAAAAATATCGTCATCGCTTATCACCACTGCAATTACAACAGTGGCGCAGTTCAACGGGGTCGAACTGAAAGCATGTATAGTAATATTATGTTCCACAAATTAATCAGGATACGGACACCAGGAAATGCCTCGAAGCTCTTTGCACATGCAGTCGTGTTCAAAACAGCAGTGAACTTAATTTTCCTTTTGGTAACAATGTAAACGGCTCGGTGTACAAGTTTTTGATTTTTTTTTTTTTTTTTTTTTTTTTTGTTTTTTTTGCTTTTTTTTTTTTTTTGGTGCGACATGCTTGACTTTAGAATTGNTTTTTTTTTTTTTTTTTTTTTTTTTTTTTTTTTGTACATTAGGGATTTTTTTGGTGCGACATGCTTGACTTTAGAATTGGAAAACAAGTTAAAAAAGAAGCGAGTCCCCTAATGCGCATTATCGCCTCACCTTGTAACATGCTCTTTCCAATTACTTTTTGTTGAATAATTTTTCAACGAGTATACTTCAATGTATTCATTGTTTTTTACCAATTTTGAAGATGTCTTTTACAGCTAATCTTATATCTTGTACCCTCCAGCAAAACAAAAACGGATTCAAAGTCGAATTCAAAAAGATCAAAGTTGTTGTAAAATAAATTGGAAGAGCGATGTCGTGCATAGAAATATCAAACAAGTAAGAACACACTTGAACAAAAAGATACGGTGTACAACATGAAATGAACAATCCATGGATGTAATACAAGTTGGCTATGGATTTTCCTTGCCTGATTCTTGGAAGACACGAGGACGAATACCCAAGAGAGATTGACCGCGTTTGTTTGAGGATTTCTCGTTTATGTCGTTTAACGATCCGGTAGATTTGGATGTGACAATACGACGACAGAACGAGGGAAACAAAACTAATGACGATAGAACTGATGTCATGCTTGAACGAGGACCTTGTCCCGTTAAGAATGGCAACCAAAAGATTCGCAATCCAGATAATAAAAGTTAAGATTAGAGTACGTTTGTTCGTCACGATTGTTTGGTACCTTAGATGTAGAAGCAGGGCAAGGTAACGGTCGACAGTAATGGCTGTCATGGTAAAAAATGACGCTCCTGCGAACAAAAAAGTTGCAGTTTTTACAACTCGCATGGAAAGTGATGTCGTAGTCAAGAAAACCATAAACATAGGTTGTACAAGAAGCCCAACTCCGAAGTCCGAGAGTGCCAGAGAACAGAGGAGTACGTTGGAAGGAGTGTGAAGCGTTGGTGTCTTGAAGATGGCGAGGATAATGAGAGGGTTTGCAATGGTCGCTGTCAGAGAAAGAATGGCATTGATGGCGACGAAAACATATATCGCGATAGTTATAGCCATTTTAAGCTTCTGTTGTCGTTCCTCTCATTTACTTTGTTTGTCTGTGCACTGGAAAGATAAAAACCCTAGATTTTGATATTCTTAAAATGAAGTTCGCCGCTAGCAGGCGCCTATACCTACCTTGAATATCAACATATAACCTCTTGCTGTTCAGGCAGAAAAATGTTCCAAATCTTGTCTCTGTACCTTGTATATACGTACCCCAGAAGAGTCCAGCTTCTCTGAAAGCTAAACAAACAGTCAAGTACCTGAAATAGTGTACTTTTTCCTGACAGGAATAATTAGATACGTTGAGTAGTGCATCATACATATGAGGGCCTAAAGACACCATTGTAGAATCTGACATTCGATCATTAGGCAACAAAGCTTATGTTTGCTTTGAAGTCGTTTGAAAAGCGGTTTCTCTTCCGTTTCGATTTTAATAACTAGCAACGTGAACTAGTTCGTATTAATTTGATAAGACTGATAATAACTTCTCGTGAAAAGAATATATTATGCAAAATCGACGCCATGCCTTGACATTTTTCAACATTGAGTTATATGTACTTACTTACGTATTGAACTCAACTTTTGCGAAGTTTCCAACATTTTAAAATATGGTATTCTTGATCTGTAATATCGAGTTGCAAAAACAGAATTATTTATTCTGGCCAACAAGGCTTCGTAAGCTGTATTTGTCTTATCACGCTGAGACTTCTCGAACCTGTCATGAAGATGTCATTCTTTCTACTGCCCGAGAAATGATTTCAAACAAGGTGCTCAATATTGAATAACGAAATAACGAGTTCTTTATAAATGAGTCGAGAAAGAATGGAAACTATATAGTTTACGTGTTAATTGCATATTGAATGAATGAACAAAAGCGAAATGAAGTAAAGATCGAATCGTAGGGTTAGGTTAGTTAAACTGTCCTCTTTAACAAACAAGATTTTGTGTACATAGCATAATCTTAAGACGGATTAAAGGAGCTCAGATTATCCAGCTTTACATCCACAGTTGCCAATCATTCCCATTCAGTTTTCGAAGGGCAGACAACCAAAGGCAACTGAGCAACTAGAGCAAATGCCTGGCGCGAATTGAAAACGATCTTTCCAAAACATTCGGGGCCCGGTTATACGAAGGGTGGATATAATAGCACTATCTGATGGATAAATCCTTATCCAGTGGATAAGTCGATGCTGTTATCCAATAAATTTATCCTGATTGGATAGGATTTATCCGTCGGATAACTCTATCCACTCTCTGTAAAACCAACCACCCAGATGGTAACATGCAATGGTAAATTGCTTTCACAATAAAGAAATAGTACACGGGCACGCGGAGATATGAAGTTCAAATCGATCTCTCTCGAGTGAGCGCAAATACGAATGAGTGAGAAATCGAATTGAACATAATAACATAAACTTATTTCATATCTTCTGGCGTCCATGTCATCATCATTATCCTCTATGCCTGTGCGGTACGTAGGGCTGAAAGCGTCCATGTATTATTCCTGTTATTATATGCACAAATATCAAGTATTCATGTAATGTAAACTGTTATTCGTAGTTTGTTTACATACGTTATTTCATGGTGGCCGAAATCCCTGTAAAACTTTAGTTTATATAATGATATTATATAAAAATACAAAGAAACCATGGAAAATGCGAAAGAGAAAAGTAGTCGGAATGAACACCAATTGAGTGAGGATAGTCTATAGCTAGTCTATTAAACTAGGGAGCCAATCAGTGAATATTTCTATTACACCTAACACTCCTTTATAAGCCCAACTTTCACCCATCCTCTGGAACCTAGGTGTAAAATTCTTTCGCTGTTTTTTTTTTTTTTTTCACGAGCGACTGAATTTTTCTCTTGGATACCCGAGGATGGGGTTTCACCAGTCGGTGCTGTTAATACCACCCAAGACTGGTTGACAAAATTTTAGTTTTAAGTTCTCATTCTAGTCAGTCATACCTTTCTGGCCACGGTATAGCTCAATAATCATTTGACATATATTGGTGCCAAGGGACGGTCTTCTCATGCGTTTGGTTCGTCAGTATCTCGTACATAGCTCGTAAATCGGTCCATTATCAGTATCTGGGCCAGGAGACTTTCCGAATTCAGGAACTCAACTGCTATAGATATCGATCTCCGAGCATATGGTTATTGTTTACAGAAACAAGTACGTCACAAGACCGGTGTCTTATTACTTTAAACCTGCTCAAACGCCCTTCACTGGGTAAATACTACCCATCTCTACGCACGTGTAAAGGGTTGTACATAGACCCTGAGCAGCTGTTCTCTGCCCGTTTCTGCTGATTGAAGACTGAAATCTAAACAGACTCGCAATATTAGGCTCATGTTTGCGTCAAATTAGATAGACGGCGCCAAACGCAACCATTTGGCTGAACAGTTTTTTCTCGTTGAGATATATAATTTTTTTTTGAGAATGATAACTAGAAAATTGTTTGGGGTGCCTGTGTTCAGGAAGAGGGGGGATGGAAGTTTAGACGTGAGATGTTTCCTGATGTTTCAGTCCTCGTTCGTTTAGAATTAGACATTTTTTTAAATTCTTTACGTCTTCATGTTTGAAAGTGTTTTGGTTCTCTTAGCTTGTATGAGCCAATATTTGGCTTCTTCCTCGAGTACCGAACAAAGTTTACGTAATTCTATAGAAACAACAACAAAAACCACAAGTTATACAATAGGACGAAGCCAACAAAGAATCTGACAAAAGGTTTATGGTACAAGAGCATAGGAAAAACGTCACAGTGTGGCCACCTATTGATTACGTCACAGTGTACGTAACGATGATGGCGTCATTTGACTACCGTTCCCAAAATGCTTCATGAATTTTCTCTCATTTAAATTTAAGAAAATTTATGAAGCATTTTGGTAATGGTAGTCGAATGACGCCATCATACAAATGGCCTATTCGAACAATGTTTCAGTTGAATTCAGCGGAGTAGAGCTATAAAGCCCTGGCTAAACGAAGAAATTTGTTTCCTTTTAACACATTGTACAATTATTCACATGTCTCTATCATTGCAAGCTCACCGTTCGTCTTGCTTCGATGCAAAGGCAAGGCTACTTTTCACTAGATGGCGCAGGGAACTGTAAAGGGGACTACTGGATGAGGTTGATCAAGCATGATATCGTAAATTATCTAGACCAAGGCTCTGTTATCTGCCGATGAGTCATAGATGAGGACAATAGGATATTCTAGGGTTTGGCTCAGGTCAAACGTCGAACTTCACATGAGCCCAACATAATCTTGAAATGATTGATAACAAGGCGGTCTTCTTTGATGTAATTAGGTTCGGCTCGTGTGAAGTTCGACGTTTTACATGAGCCTTAAGGTGGTGTTACACGCGACAACTTGCAACGCCGATTTTTCGTGCAACTTTATTGCGCCATTTGTGTGTCGATTTTATGCGACATGTTACACGGGAACAACTTTTCGCGCAACATTCACTTTAGTACTCAGTCCACGCGCTGCCAACTCACTCACGGCTATCTTTTTTTCTTCTTTTCTTGCTTTTATCATTTTTTATCAACTACAAAAGTTTCATCTTATCCGTTTTATTAGGTTTAGACAATCGTTGCAGTTGCTGTATTGTTTAAACTTACTTCTTCTACAGTCGGCGCCATTTTGTTGCGCGTCAAATCGGCGATGGACATGTTACACACATCGATTTGCTGAAAATTCGTCATCTTGCGTTGCAAGTTTTTGAAGCCAGATCAAAAACTTGCAACTTGTTGCAGAGTGAAATATTGCGCGAAAAATTGTCCTCGGCGCTATGTTACACGGCAACGATTTTTCGTGCAACAGCATTGCGCGTAACATCGGCGTTGCAAGTTGGCCCGTATAACACCACCTTTACACTCTATTGCCTTCAAACAACTCTTTCAAGATGAGTCACTTTGGGTCAATGCAATAAATGCTTAAAACTGATACAAATGCAAGGAGTGTTGAAGGCAACAACAGAGCTAATTCTAATATCTGCTGTTTACGATATCATGAAAACCGAATTGAATTACTAGCGTCAGTTGGTGTGGCGTAAACCAGAGATCTATTCGCAGATCATGAACGCAATGGGTGGCAAATTAGCATCCACATGCAATGCTAACCAACTATAACGCTATAATTGTTTTATTATACATTCTGTTAACTAAATAGACATTATCACGTGTTAATAGCTTGATATCGTTTTTATTAACGAGTTTCCATATCATATCGCGAACGAGCGAAWAAGTAGACAAATTTCAAGATAAATTTGTTTAGCAAGTAAAAAACCAGACTACATGCATTATAGTTTTAGCACCTTAGATCACGTAGAAAGAATATGTATCCCCCTTTTTCTACTGTTTTACCGTCTTAACTGGATTGCTGGATTGTCAAGGAAAGACATTAGAAATATATATAAATTACTACGTGATCTAAGGTGTGAAAGCTACAATGTAGGACTGGTAAAATCGCTTGCTAATATGTTTCTCATACACTTATATATACTTATTTCAATAAAGCTACAAAGCTGAGACCGACAAGGATTATGGGTAGATACATTTTACATGTTTCAACCGCTTGATAACTGTTGATGGAATTGAGATCTTCTACCAGTTACAAGTTAACCTCCTCTGAGCATCCTCAGCTGCTGCAGTTTGTGTCGAAACCTTTACTTGTTGGATATGAAATATTTCACCATGATTCTCAGCGATCACAGCTTTCTAGGTTTTTGGTGACTA